AAAAAAAATACCTACAATGTATTTATTTAATAACTTTGTTTTGTTGCAATTTCATGACATATTTAGTAGTTAAAATAGCACAATCTAACTTCTAAAATATGCACAACCAATTGAACAAAGTAAATAAATTGAAGAAACAATACAAGAATTAATTTTTAAAAATAATATTTCATTTATATGTAAACACAGAAGCATATGAACCATTTTGTTCTGAAAGAGAAGAAATCTACTTTATTTACCAAGTGAATTCTTATTCCTAAATGGTAAGGACGTGATTAAGTACATAAAGTTGTTTACAATATATATTTTAATATCTGTTTTAACATAAACAATTCCCTATGGCACAGATTACAGAAACTAATATCAACACATCAGAAAAGCACCCCAAACAACCATCTAACTCATATTTTACCATGTTACAAAGTGATTAAGATGAGAGATTTGTTGACAATATTGTTGAATTATACGTTCAGTGGTGCTTACAAGTTTCTGAACTCTTTAAATCAAAGGCCTCGAACCTGTGGGCCACAGCCCACTACTGGGCTGTGGCTTATTCATAATGGGGCTACGAGTGGCTTGTTGGTGCACGTGCATTTGCGCGCACGTGCACGGTCCCACTCATGCAAACATCGCAGGCGTTTCAGGCCTCACTCATGTGAGAGTTGCGGTCACTCAGGGCCTCACTCGTGCGAGCACCATGGGTGCTCTTGGCCCCATTCGCACAAGAAAAGGGATGCTCGTGCACGCACACAAGCATGTGTGCGCACCTGCCCCCCCACAAAAACATCCGTTCTTTTCCCCTTCACCCCCTCCGGGCTGCCAACCCGGAAAGGTTGGGATCCCTGCTTTAAATACTTTATATTCCTGTATAAATATAACTTAAGCATGATCTGTTTTTCCATACAAGTCCTAAAACTAGATAAAGAGAACACAAATAAATAAGGTAAATACTATATTTGTACATTTATTTATTGAGGAAAATGAGCATAATACACTGGCATATTTCTGTAATAGTACTCCCAACAATATTTAATAAACAAGTGACTGCACTGATTGTGCCTCAAAATTTAAGAGTTATACAGAATCAGAAAATTAGTAGATTAATGATCAGAAGAAAACATTTTAGAAATACTGTACAGACTATTTTATTAAGAAAATAAAACCCATTTCTGTCTGCTGTGTGAAGATACAGTGACTTGCTAAAACCTCTTCTCATTAGAAATTCTCAGGAGAAGGGAAAAAACTCCTGCACGTCTACAAAGTCTCTTACTGAGATGAAATAGCAATACGAACAAAGTGTGTTCTCATTATAACATTGAACTTTCTTATGTTAAATGAACAGAAAGTATAAAGCAAATGCTCTGGAGGAAAGGAGAAAATCTGAAGCCCGCTCTGCATTAATGTAAGTTCTACATATTGCCTTTAAATATATTGCACCAAAGTCTGTATGGAAAATATAACCTGTAGGACACAAATATCTCATATTATCATAAACCAGAACTTTAATACTTATACATTTTTACATACAATAGTGGCAATAGTGCTATCACATTTATTTCCAAAGCACCAGGCCAAAATTGTTTAAAATCAAATAATGACTGGTAAAAGATCATCTAAAGTAGATTTTAAAGTGAAGGCATTGTAATATTGTATTGTATTATACTGTTAATATTGAAGATTATTTGCACAGAAATTGCATCAAGATTATAGAGAATTCTATTTCAGTTGTAAAATCTGGGGCTGTGGGTTACACAGATATATTAACTTCTCTTT